ATGAGCATGCCTTATTTTAGTCCCTACCTTATACATAGCCCAGTTGTGGGTAACTGGGCACTACATAGGATTCTGGGAGAATAGAAAATAATTTCCTTGACATGTGACTTCATTTATATAGTGAACTCCCAGGTGAGGAATCTCCCTTTGCCACAGCAGGTCAGAACTTACTCAGTAACTTAGAGGGAGCCTAGAACAGTGGTGTCAGACCGAACTAGAAGCTGGGGCCGCTGATCTATCCCTAAGGTGTTTACTTGCTGGTGTATATTGACTTAGTTTTAAAATGTGATGTTTTCTGTTTTATTGTATTTTTATTTATGTTGTGAAATAGTTCCCAATTATATTTTCATCTGATTTGGTCCACAATATGGAATGTTGTGGACTTCCTGTGTAAGACCTCTAGCCTAGAGCATTGAGAGACTAAGTCACTTGCCCAGGGGTCACACAGCCAGTATGTGTCACCGGCTGGACTTGAACCCAGGTCCTCTAAGAAAGTTGTCTGGAACACTGAGGAATTAAGAAAGGCACACAGCCAGCATAGGTCAGACCGGGAACTTGAACCCAGACCTTCTCTGTTCTGAGGCCAGTTTTCTCTTTTCATTATGCCAAGTTGACACTTACAGTGGATAGAGTACTGGATTTGGAATCAGAAGGACCTGCATTCAAATTATGCCTCAGATACTTACTATATGCATGAAGCTAGGTGAGTCACTTTCCCCGGGGAAACAGGGAACTCATGAAATTAATCAAAGCTGATCAAAACCTCCAGCTTAGTTCTATCACATTTACATTAAAGAAACCTGGAAAACTGAAACTGAAATGTCTCTTACATACTTGTCTCAGATTCAAATGTTATACGGTTATTAGTATCCAGCTCCATGCTAATCCTCACGGACACATAGTTCAGTAATTAGTACTATTAATCCCAGAGCTAAATGTGCTTTTATTAACATGGGCAGCGTATCTCAACTCAGAGAAGAAGCCACATCATATTCTCTTTACCAAATCCCTCACTGGTATCCTTTTACCATTTGCCAAAACTGAGGTTTAACTCAATTTTTATACTATTTTTCCAGACTTTTTTCCCTCTATTCCTTTGTAGGCTCGTACAAACTTTTTGACTATTGTTTGCTCATTTTTTCCCATTTCAGATTCCATACTTGCAGAACAGAGGTTCTGTGAGCTCAATTTTTTTTATTGATTTTTTTTGTTCTTACATTGATTTGATTTCCCGAGGTATTCATCCCTACCCCTTCTAGAGAGCCATCCCTTAAAATAATGTTTTAAAAAGAAAAAAAGATTGGCCAAATTAATGACTCCATCAACCAGGTACAATATTGAATATGGCATTCTATGCCCATTGGCCCCTCCCCCTGCAAAAAGGAAGGGAGGTACATTTTCATTTCTCTTTTTGGGAGGCCAAGTTTGGTTAATGTAATAAAATTTTATATATATACATATATATGTATATAAACATGTACACGTATATAAACATGTACACATGTATACAAACATGCACACATGTATATAAACATGTGCACATGTATATAAACATGTATATATGTATATAAACATGTACGTGTGTATGTAAACATGCACGTATGTAAAACATGTGCACATGTATGTAAACATATACATGCATATACATATGTATGACATACATTTGTTATGTTATATATTTTATATAATCTATGTGTGTGTTTGTATGTATATATGTATACATATATACATATTCATGTATACATATATACATGCTTATACATATATAGAATGTATATATATGCATATATAATGTAATTTTACTTCATTCAGTTTGTTTTATTTTTGCTGTTATTGCTCTATTTACCCTGTAATAGTCATCGTGCATATAGTTTTCCTGATTCTACTTATTTTGCTTTGCATCAGTTCATATAACTCTTCCCATACCTCTCTTTATTTCTCATATTCATCACTTCTTGCAGCACTGTCATCTATGAGCCCTTTTATCTCAAAGTCTTTCTCAATGTGACAGTTTCCATTCCTAAAAACCCATATCTGTCACAAATGCAGGAGAACTTAAATAGAACCCTATGAAAAGATGAAAATTTTTCTTCCTTCATTCAGTCAGTAACTTTAGAATCAGGAAGACTTATCTTTGTGAGTTCAAATCTGGCATCAGATACTTACTAGCTGTGTGACCTTAGACAAGTCACTTAACTTTCATTTGTCTCAGTTTCCTCATCTGTAAAACAGATAATAATAGTACCTACCTTGCAAGGGTTGTAAGAAACAAATGAAATAATATTTATAAGGCACTTAGCACAGTGCCTGGCACATAGTAGATATTGTATAGTGGAAACAAAATGTGACTGAAAAAAGTTTTAGACTGGAGGCTGAAGACCTGGGTATAAATCCTATTTCTCAAACTTAACCTTTAAGGTCGGGCAAATCACTTGAATTTTCAGAGATTCTTTTTTTGGTATATACTTGCACATATGAAAAGATGTAATGCTACTTACCTCTTAGGGTTATGAGTAAAACATCGAACTTTTAAAGCACTATATACTCTTGCAAATTATTTTTGTTATTGTTGTTTTTCATAGATAAGTGAGAGTGAATTAAGTTGTCCAAATATTTAGCAAACATCATGCGATAAGAGCACTGGATTGTAAAGTCAGAGGATCTGAATGCGAGGCCCAGACCTACAATTTATAACCTGACTGACCTTGGGCAAATCATTTATCCTTTCTGAGCCTTGGCATCCTCATCTATAATGACGGGGTTGGTCTATATGACCTCAAGGGTCTCTTCCAGCTCTATGATCCTATTCATTGGAAAGAGTCACAGGGCTTGAGATCAAATTGTGGATCTAAAACCACTTATGAGATCTTGGGAAAATTACTAACATCCTTGGGCCTCAGTTTCCCAATATGTAAGATGAGTAGCTGGGACTAAATGTGGACCCTTCAACCTCTATTATGCTATGATTTAATCTCAAGAAGCGAGGCATAAGTGAAAGGGCTGACAAAGTCTATTCTCTTTTTTTCTTTTCCAAAGCATACATATATGAAGGTATATATGTAAAACATATAGTATATATGTTAAACATACAAAGTATATGTGCATATATTATTATACATTATGTGTATGTAACTATATTTTATTTATGTATTATCTATATGTGTAAAATATCTTTTATACATTATGTACATATGTAAATATATTTTATTTTATACATTAAGTATGTATGTAAATTATATGCAAAATACATACATACATACTTTAGAAGAAGAAAAAAGGGAATATTTTGTCTATAGATATGTACACATATGTAGTCTGTCACCTGTAAACAAAGCTTATGTTCATTGATTTTTATACAGGACTTGATAGATTATGCAGCATTTTTCTCACAAGAATCCTATGAGGTATACAGGATCTGGGTTACAATTCTTATTTTATAGGTAAGGAGATGAAAGTTTACAGATCTGAAGGGACAACCTGTACTCATTCAGCACGTACTTGCCAAAGGAAGACCTGTGATCCTGGTCTTCTCAGTCAGAGCCCGACGTTGCTTGGACAATGATCCATAATTACCTTGATTTGTGGTTTTGCTATCGTAGTGTCTCTCACTATGTATACTACGTTATTTTCTCAACGTGTCGTCATCAGGCCTGTTCCTTTTAAATAGCATGCCCCCAGAGGACAGGAACTTCGATTACTATTAGAAATAATAATAATGACTTTCATTTATATAGTAATTTAAGATTGGCAAAGCAGTTTACTACAGAGATTGTTATCCCCATTTTACATATAAGGAAACTGAGTCTCAGAGAAGTCAAGTGACTTGCCCAGGGGTCATACAGCTAGTAAATGTCTTAAACAGAATTTAAATGCAGATCTTCCTGAAATATCAATAACTAAAGGAGACAAAAATAACATTTAAATGTGCTCATTAGAACCTAAAATGCTGAAAGTATTTGTGCATATGGTATGTGTGTGTGTGTGTTTGCATGTGAGTGTATGTATGAGTTTTTACAAGCTGCTTTATGCTGGTTGCTTTATGTCAGCTTAAACTAAATAACTGAAGAACGAAGGTGGCCCCAGCACAGTATACACTGCCCAACAGCCCAGGCGGCCAAGACCTTTAACATAAATTTAGCCTAAGTAGGTACTAGCTCATTTTTAAACAAAAGGAGTAAGCTAAAAACCACCACTCAATACTCCTTGTTCTTACTTAATATCATCCTGCTTTGGCACGGAGACCCAAGCATTGAGCAGGCTGGAAAAAAGAAAGAAGAATCAAATGCACGTACTTCATTGAAATACAATAATCAACCTTGCTAAGTTTAGGACAGCCTGTAACTAGGGTTTAAAATAAGAGAGAAATTAAATATTGGTTACTTGTTAATTGGTGAGCAAAAAAAAAAAAAAAAAATCAGTAAATATAGTGCTCTCTCTGCTGGCCTGAATTTTATTGCAACTACAATATTTGAAATATTTGCAATGATATAAAAATGTTCAAAAGCTTTATCTCCAATGTCTCCCAGTTTCCTTTCATTATTCTTTTTATTCTGTTGTAAATATGTTTCTTCTTCTTTAAGAAAACATTTATAATATGTTTGAATCTTTAGAATTGAGTTTGCCTGTAGATTGTACAAAGGAATCCCGATTGAGTTCTCATTTTGGCAGCCGGTGGCACAGTGGACTTGGAGTCAGGAAGACCTGAGTTTAAATCCAGCCTCAGATACTTGGCTAGGTGTGTGGCCCTGGGCTAGATACTTGATCTGCTGCCTGCCTCTGTTTCCTCATCTGTAAAATAGAGGATAATAATAGCACTTAACTCTCACAGTTATTTGAAGATCAAATGAATTAACATTTGTATAAAGCTCTTTATAAACCTTAAATACTACATAAATGCCTTCATCATCATCATCATCACCACCATTATCAACATTATCATCATCATCATCATCTCCTTCTTCTTCTCCTTCTTCTTCTTCTTTTTGAGGCAACCATGGCATAGTGGATAGAGAGTTATCCTTGAAGTCAGAAGACCTAGATTAAAGTTCTGCGTCTGATATATACCAGCTGTAGGACCCTGGATGAGTCACTTATCTTCTCAAAGACCCAGAGAATTCTCTAAGTTTCAGAAGAGGTGCTGATCTTCACCCATGGAGGCCTTTTCCTGTGTAGAGATGGTCCACATCTCCATGTACTCAATTCTTTGTACAAGAGAAGAAGACCCAGAATGATAGTGAGGTCAGTTTTTTCCCCACCCAACTACTGGAGAGAAGGATGTTCTCTGATGACACCAATGAATAAAGAGACAGCTCCGTTTCTTTCCTTGGTGCTTAGACCTAGAGAAGGAAGCAAGGATGTAAGAATGTGTCAGAGCCTGGGCAATTCTAGTGGGACAGTTGTTGCACTGTATGCCCTGCACTCACTCACTCACTCTCTCTCTCTGTCTCTCCCCCCCCCCTCCCTCTCTCCCTCTCTCTCCCTCTTCCTCTCTCCCTCTCCCTCTCCTTCTCCTTCTCCCTCCCCCTCTCCCTCTCCCTCCCCCCCTCTTGTTTTTAAAATATTAAAGGGAAATTATATTGCCAGTGGTAGTAGAGGTACCTTGCTCCTGTCATTTAAGCCCATGGAGTAGTCATTCAATAAACCCGTGGGAGGTCAATGTCTACTGACAGGTAGGAAATCGCACAGTGTCCCTCTATAAGATGCCATAGGGAACTACTCTGACTGATAGAATAGAGTTAGACTGATCAACACACTTGATTTCCTATGCTGAGAGAAAAGAAATATGGAAGCCATAGCTCAAAGTCAATTCACCAGGCTCATCCTCAGAGTAGAAGGAAGGTGAGCTAGCCTTGTCAATCCCCACAGACTAGCAGCTCAAGGTAGAGGAGGGTGAGAAGAGGTAACCATGAGACAACAGCAAAGCAGAGAAAGCCCCAGACAATGGGAGACTAGAAGCTTTTGCCAGGAAAGTGAGAGTGGAATAGCAGTGAGGTCAATAGTGCCCTGGGCTATGAGGAGTATTTTTGAGGATTCTGTTTTGCTCAGAAGGCAAGCCCCAGGCTGATGATTCCTTCCCCTTTTTCTGCCTCTCCCTTTCTGGGAGAGTTGTGATTGTTCCCCAATCTCTTTTTCTTGAGAGTTTGGTTGCTTTCCATTTCATACATGTTTTAAACCTGTTTTGTATTCCTAAGATAAAGGTGAATAACTATGGAATTACTGATGTCCTTGTCCAAATGCTACAGAGAAAAGGCAAGAGAATGTCCAGAGAGGGTGGCGGGAAAGGGAGGGAGGGGGAGAAAGGGAGAGACTGGGACCGGGGTTAAAGTGAGAAAGAGAGACACAGATAGAGGTAGACAGAGAGACAGATTCAGAAAGAGGGAGGTGTTGGAGAGACAGATGGAGAAAGAGAGAAGGAAGAAGGGAAAGAGATTAGGAGGAGGAGAGAGAAAGAAGGAAGGAAGAAGAGAGACAGACAGAGAGAGAGAGACAGAGACAAACAGAGACAGAGACAAAAAGAGACAGAAAAAAAATTTTGCAACTGCTAGGACATTTATTTCATGGGATGGTGTCTGAGAACAGAACAATGAAGAATTATTAATTTACATTTAATAACTTCACAGAGCAGGGAGAAACTTAGACTCAGACCTTCCTAATTAATGAGTTGTAGCTTTTGTTGGGGCAGGCTATGACTAGTATGAGAGGTGAAGTCTTGCTACTTTCTCTTCTCGTTGTTTCTTTCCACATGGCTGTTTGAACAGAAAACCAAGCCACACCTGAGGGCCAGTGCTGAGGGAGTTCAGTAGAGAAAAATCCATGTCTGGTGGGGGTGACTGGGAAAAAATGTCATCACCCTCAGGAGTGAGAGCCAGATGGAGGGAAATGAATAGTTAGCAGCACAAGGACATTGGTTCCCACACTGTCACTAAACCTGTAACAAGTATGATTTAAGGAGATAATCTTGGAAGGGAGCAAAAGGACAGTCCTATATATTGGTAGTTAAAAGATTGCTCAGGGTGATCAGACTTCCTGGTTTGGCTGGTACCATCTTCATTTTTAATAATCTATATTAGGCAAATAAAAGTTTTCAAAAGGATCCTAGGCAAGATATATTTTGCACAAGATCCCCATGTTGAACAGACTATAAAGTACCTAAGTTACTTTGTTAATTATCATATTTGTTTTTGTTTTTATTTTAATGACTAGGTCTTTCACTTCATAAAGTAACTTCAAGTGTCTCAGAGTTAGTCATCAACTTAGTACTCAAGCAAACTTTGCTGGAGGGTAGAACTGTCCTAAAAAGAAGGACCCCCTTGATCTATGGCTTATAAACTGCTTCATAGTAGGAAAAAGTTAAATTTAGGGAATATTCAGGACCAGGGAGAACCCCTGCCTACAATTTCCCAATGCTACTTCCACTAGACTACTCCCTGAATATCCCAACTGTGTGGTTCAGCATGGAGAGTTTTACCTTTTGGTCCCACACCTCTATTTCATGATGGTGAGTCACAAGTATGATGGCTTTACTGTTGGACCCAAGAGACTTCTCTGAATCATAAGAGAAGTTGACCATGATCTAATGGAAAGAGTACTTTATCTGGAATCACAGTTCTTAGGTTAAAATCCCAGGTCTGTTATTTGCTACTACTGCCTGTGTGACATTGCATAAGTTACTTTCTCTCTTGGGGCCTTAGTTTTCTTATGTGTAATATGACAGGATTTGTATAGGCCCTCTAGCTAAGAGTATATGTGTGTGTGTGTATGTATGTATATGCACATACATACACATATGTGTATATGTATTTGTATACACACACATACATATATATATATATCTATCTTTTTTAAAAGATGGTAAAACTGTTTTAAAATGGAAAAACCATTCATAGCTCAATGGACATACAAGAACTGGTTGCTGCAGTATTTGATCCTAAGGCTATAGTTTGCCAGTCTAAGCCTGATGATCTCTAAAGTCCCTCTCTAAAATCCTATGGTCAGTTCAATTGCAGCAATTTTTATAATAGTTGCTTAATTTGGAATAAATAAGCAAAAAAATATCATTAGTTAGCACCCTACAAATTTGGAATCTCTACTCACTAAGAATGGAACTTAGCTGAAGCTCATCTTTGTACCATTTATGATTACAAGGTTTGCTAAGCCACTGATGGACAAAAAGGCTCCAGGGGAATGCTTAGCTTACTTAAGGAAGCAGACAATTTTCAAGTATAGGTAGGTTGATTTGCATTACATCATGAAGGAACATTGAGGAATGAATGTATACAGACCAATTTAGAGGGCATCAGTTGAGTCACTTTGGGCACTTCCAAGTAAATATGTGGAAAGAACTGTCCATATGGATGATGAAGCAAACCCTTGGAGATTCCCTTGGTCCATAATTCCAGTGATAGCTGAAGCGAGGGAAGGCAATGTCAAAGGTCTCTCAGATATAATTGGACATTGATCTCAAAATGATAATGACTCGTTGAAAACTGACTTGGCTTTCATCTCTTTGCTTCTTCCTTCTGCCCTCTAGGTGGCATCATATAAATCTGGGACTTCCCCTGAGGGATACAGGAAAGACAACTCATCATATTCCCCACCCTGGTCACTATGTAGCTGTGGGTACATGGCAGATAAGCACATATCCTGCTTACATAAGTCTATGACTGGATCTCAGAATCCTGGCTGCCTTTTCTACACTGGGATTCCTTTCATGAATAGGTAACTAAACATTGATCTCATGATGGATGTGTTCCAACTTTAAAATGAAAGTGAAATGAACTTGAATTCACTATATGAGTTCCCTTTGTGAATTGGTCTTAGGAGTGTAAGGTCCTGTGTGAGTCAGTCAGTCAGTATACATTTATCAAGTTGTTGTTCATCCTTCGTTTTCAAAAAGAAGATCAATGACATCATGGTGTGATGTTTTGACCTGCAAGTGAATTGGATTTAGGTGAAGCAGAGTTGCACAAAGTCATCAGCCTCACTCTCTCTTCCAGAGTCATCAAAGTCCAATGGCAAGACAGAAGTCAAGATGACTGGCGATGGCTCAGGAGGACGCAGTGGATGTCCTTGGCATCTTCGATGCCTGACGAAGCTCTAAGCTTCAGCCATCTTCATAGTTGTTGGAGCAAGTTCTTCTCATCCGCCCATCCACCCATCCCAAAGTCTTCACATGCCTAAGGTAGATATCTCCCTAAATCACCATCAAGTTTGAGGCCTGTAGATTACCTACCTACTATGTGGCACTGGGCATACAGAGAAAGGTAAAACACAGATTCTCTCTAGGAGCTCACAATCTAATAGGAGAGAACATGAGAACAATTGTGTACAAACAGGATACAGGATAAATGGGAAATAATAGAGGGAAGGCATTCAAATCAAGAGGGATTGAGGATGGTTTCTTGTAAAAGGTGGAATTTTAGCTGAGACTTAAAGGAAACTAAAGAAAGAGTATAGAGTGTATTCCAGGCATGGAGGACAACTAGGGAAAATGCTTGTACAAAGAACAGTAAGGACACTGGATCACAAGTACATTGGGAGTGTTGAGAAGACTGGAAAGGTTGGAGGGGACAGATTTTGAAGGGATTTGAATGCCAAATAAAGGAGTGTTCATTGGGTAGAGCTAACTGGTTGCAAGGGAAGTTTTTCATTAGAGAAAAATAACTCTCACCAGGAGGATGAGCTCAAACTTTGGCATGGATTGGCAGAAGACATGAACCAAGAATTATTTGTGCAGTGCAGAACCAAGGTAAAGTGTCAAAATGCTATTCAAATGAACCATAAACTTCTTTACCTTCTGATATTTATGATTCCACTTCCTGGCAGATCTTAACAGTAGCTATAAATTATAAATTACTGATTGCTTAAGTGTTATCTATGTATGTCATGAGTCTTTTATGTCTTTTAGCATTTCTTTTATGTATTGGAAATGAAGACCCAGCCTTGAGTTGTTCAGGGGCAGGTATGTAGTACGTCGAGTACTAATTCCCATTGTACAATGAGGATTTTTTGTTCCCAGCTTTGGGGAAAACCTATGGCCAAAAACCTAAACCTTAATCATTATTTAACTTAGGTTCAGGGTTTGGGATTAAATGAGCTGGAGAATGTGAGAAGAGGGAACCTAACCCCTTATTGGGGTTCAATGCTAAAGGAACCCCTTAGTTGAGAAGGAAAAAGGCAGAGCATCACAGCCCTTTAATACCTATGTAACCAAGCAATATGCTAATCAAAAATTTTTCTCATCTATTTAATAAAGGACCTCTAAATCATTCTACAATATGCACATTTCATTAATTCAGAAAGGCTTCAATCCATTTCTCCCTATATAAAACCCTGC